CCGAAAAAAAATTTTTTTTTTCCTGATAATCATCAAAGAACCTATTTTGTTCCCTTTGCCAACGAACCCTTCCCCTCTCCCCTAAGCCATTTTTGTTCGTTTCCACCTTATCGACGCACATAAATTGATGGAAAGAAAAGTAAAATAATTAAAAATTAATAAAATAAAAACCACCATCATCATTATTAACAACAAATATATGGCCATTAGAAAAATAATTATAAACAAGCACTGAATAGAAACAAGAAAAAACTGCCTTTTTTCCTAGAACTGAAAAAGCAACAAGACACCATTTAATATCAACTAGATAGAAAAAACACATACACATATTCACACATATAAATATATAAAATAATAGAAAAAAAATGAACTTCAGATCAATAAATAAAAAAAAAGAAAAGAGAAATAATAAAGAATAAAAAGCATAGAAAAAATAGCAAATGATAGAAACGGCACTTTTTTCTTTCCTTTCATCTTCTTCATATGGTTTGATGCCAACAACGACCCTGAAACTAAACCAAACAGTATTCTTCTTCCATCCATTTATTCTACTCTTAGTTTTTACCCACTATTGCCGCCACCACTGCTGTTGCCGATGCTGTTTGCTGGTATTGCCACTGTTGTTCACCCCCATTTCATGCCCCCTCCTTCTTGCTACCGTTCACCCCCTCTCTTCACCACTTCATCGTCATCATCACCCCCCTCTTCTTCTCCCTACTGCTCTCTGCTCTGCTCTACATTATACATATAGACACAGAATATGCCCAGCCCAAACCATCAGTGGACGACACCATCAACGACAACATCCGACGGTGATTTTTGCTTTAGCAGTTATTTGCATGCCCGCAAGTATGTTTGTGTATTGTTTGTATGCTTGCATGTATGTGTGAATATATGTATATATATTATATATATACGTGGATACTTCGCCTGCGCAGTGATCGGTCCAGCCATCAAATAACATACAAACAAACGGACAAACATACAAACACACACACACA